CTGTAGGCGAGGTGTGCCGGGATGCTGGGGCTGACAGACTGCCTCGGGCACGTTACCTAACCGGCTCCTGCTGCAAGGAGAACTCATCCTCCTGACAGATTTTCACTCTTCTACAGAAGGCTGGCATTAATTGCTTCTGTCTCGCAAATTTACAAAACTAACTCAGGAAAGCAGAAAAAGTTAACAGAGGCAAGCAATACTACCTTATTTCTTATTGAGTGGTTTATTATAATATTGTGAGATTTTATTTAAAACATACATATTATCTGTTTGCCAGTTCTGTTTTTATTTTCTTATGGTTCTGAAATGAGAATTGACTATTTGGTATTGGACATCAATAAATCCAGTATGTTCCCTGCATGAATTATACAGTGGGATCAATTTTGCATACAAATATGTCTTTTTCTTCCATAAAGTAAAACATAACGCGTATGTGACTGAAAATGTGAGAGGTGAACAAAAGCAGTACAATAACCGTGATGAACATTTTCAGTTTTGAATGTAGATCTGGGCAAGGATGTGATTTTGGATATTCTGCTCAGTAAAGACTGCATCTTTCCAAGGAAATATAAAATGAACCAACCAAACCTAACCCAGCAGAATTAATGTTGCTAAAAGTAGAAAATACGTACTTGGCTTCTGATCTAGCTTTGTCTTTATAAAAAGTGTTTGGGTGAGTCTTTCAGCACCACACTCAGAATAAAGATTTGCCTGTCTTAAAGGCTTAAGCGCATAGCCTGAGACTCCCTGTTGACCAGAGGCCTTTAAGCAGAGGTGAAATATTGCAGGACTCCCGTGCTAGTCCCTCAGCATACCTGACTGATGTGGTCATCATCACACAAGACTTCAAGCACTTCAAATCCACCCTGAATCAACACCCTGCCCCGGGGCTGAGGGCAAAGTGTGCTGGGCTCAGGACCAGCCCAAAGAGCCCTTGGGCACCACACTCATTACCCACGGATCAAAGAGTCCATTTGATGCCGACCAGAATGACAGCCTGGGCATTCAGCAATTCAGACTACAACTCACTTATTACCTGCCTTTCCCTTAAATTTTAAACTTCACTTACCTGTGGCATTTTAAATGGAAATGGAATAAAGAGGGAGGGAATGAAAGAAATGGGCAGTTACAAGAAGGAAAAAGGCATCTTTTGTATTTTGTCTCCAGCTTTACAAAAACTTGGCAGAAGAAACATTTGAAGTATATGATTTTTCTGGCATTAGTTTGTTCTGCCTGAAGTGCTCCTCTAAAGGGAATCTTGGCAGCTATTTAAGGAAGAATCCCTGACAGCAGTTTTAATAATGTGAAATATGAGCACAAGGCCTTACATAAGTAAGTCAGGTCCCAGGACATAAGCAAGTTTGTGGAGATAAACTCCACTTAAAGCAACTCACTTTTCCCAATTAACTCGGTGCTTATGTACTCATATACAATGAGCTCTTTGAATGAATACGGATTAAAACACTTGTTCCAGAATAAGGGTGCTGGTGCCCGGAATGAATCAGGAAGAGCTTCCCTTGTGTAGTAGCTGTTTGGTTGTGTGAAAGAAAGACAGAGAAGTAAGTCATGTTCCCACCACAACAAAACCAGAGGGAAACGCTGACAAGCTCCATCTCAGGAACAAGGCAGCGAGCAGGAAATGCCATTTTCTTTTCCCAGAGAGCAGATCTGATGCCTTATTTTTAAATATGTTAGTTCCACTTACTTATATTACTAACAGTGCTTCAGGGAGTACAATAGAGCATTTGATTTTGAATCAGAATGTAGTTTTGTAACACTACAGACTGTTTTCATTCACTAATTTGGGTGCAAACCCAGTGGAAGCGCTGACACATGTTTGGGTATGTGCTGCTCAACTTGAGCAACCCAGCAGCAGCCAGCAGGATCACCACCCCTGCTGGAAACCAGCCGTTTCCTAGCAAGAGGGTAATGAGTGAAGCTGCAGTGAACGATTCTCTAGAGACAAGACGGTGAGTGAAGGCGTTACAGTTATAAGCTCAGAGTTATAAAAAGCCTCATTGAGCTTTTTTTTTTTCCCCCTTTTTCTTTTCCATTTGAGCGGCCAGATGGTAATCCTATTCGTTCCCAAGAAGAAGTCTCTCTCTCTCCCACTTGGGGGAGATCCAGGACAGACAAACCCTGAAAGACGACAGTTTTCTGTGTTCCCATCTAAGGTTGATCAGTTTTTCAGAGCAAAAGCATTAGCAGGAAAAGTTGGGAGCTTACACGAATTTCTGTAATACTTGCAGACACCAGAAAAGGGTGCCTGCAAAGACGGAATATGAGCAGTTACTGCTTGTCTTCCCTGGTTGTCATCTGAGCTTGTTTCAAGGGGACTGGTTTGAAAATACATAGAAGTATGGATGGACTGCCATAGTTTTTCTGCTGCAATGAATTATTCACAATGTGACACTAAATGTGCAATTCGCGTGATTTAAGCACATGATGTCAGTGTAAATATAAGACACAAAAACTGCTTCTTATTAACTGGGGATGTTAAAATAACAGGAACTAAAGTTAAAGGGATGCCACAATGCCAAATGTATTAATTTCCTGTTAAACTGCCGTGGACTGTTGAAGAGGTACTTGGCATCTTCTAAGAAGAGGATGCGTTGTATAGTTTGCACGATGTTATTTCAATTAAGAAAGCTCTTGCCTTCAGTACACATCTTAAAAAAAAAAAGTTGCAAAAAATCTCATGGAGCCAGTTTGTCCTACAGAGTTATAGCAGTATTTAAAAATGAAAACCAGTTTTGCCTTAAGTACAAGATTTTCAATGGTATTTATTGCTGTTGTTGCAAACCAACTTTTTAATGTTGGCATTATAAAATAGAAAATTAAATGTGTAAAATCTAAATAGAAATAATTTTTATAAATGTCAAGTGTTTTTAGAATTTTCCTTTACAGATACATTTGAAATGTTGAGTTTTATTCAAAACTGGATCTATCTAGAATTTCAAAATCTAACACAAAATTGATTTTCTCTTTCACATTGCTGCAGTGTTGTTGTAATGTCAATCCCATTTTATAAATACAGGCTTCTGAGCAAGATTTACCTTGTGGGCTAAAGATTTCCAAGAAAAATGCCCAGGTTGCTTTTCCAGCATTATGAACATACCACACACCACAAATACATTACTCACTTGAAAACACCGCATGTATACAGAGGTACTTGTGATTATTTAAATTTGAAGGATAGCTTCTTGTAGCAAAATATCCAGTTGTGTAAAATCTTTGCATAAGTTTGACAGATCAAAGCACATCATGCTAGAGAACTCCTTTAGGAGGAGTAGAAATTCAATTACAAAGTAAGCAAGGGAAACAAAGCAAGAAGTTTATTATAGGGAAAGTAGCAAAAAACTTCCAAAAGGTTTCATTACTCAGGGGACATTGTAAGTTGATGAAAACAATGATTTAGGAAAGAAATGCTCACAGAAACTTAAACAAATTTTAGAATAATCTGATCATTTCAGAGCATTCCCTTATTAGAAACCAGAACTGCAAAGGCTGGAAAAACCCTGTGTAGAGAAACAAAATGTCTTGCAGGAGTCTTTGCTAAAACAAGGGCAGCCAGTGAAAGTGGATCTTTGGACAAAAATTATCTTGATAGCAATAAGACAATAATTACCTTGGCGTAAATGCAGCTTTCATTGAGTTTTTGTAGCGTGCAGTTGCGTTCACACATAGGGCACATGATGGTTTCATTTGCCTCGCAGATCTCCTTGCTTTAGTATGAGACAGTAAAATAAAGGTTATAAAAAGGCTTTTAGCGTTCCTAAGATTTTCTGAGGCTCTGCCATTTGTGGCCTCTATTTGTTAACAGTATGCCTACACCACAAAACCAGCTCAATAAAATAAACTACAAGTGAATGTTTGGCTTGAAAAGCCTAATCCCAAATCAGTAATCCTAAAACTACAGTCCCTAGAGTAGTATGCAATATTTTTGGGCATCATGCCAGACTTCTCCCACTTGTGAACACCCCATTCCCTCCTAAATATCACAAATAGAAGAACAAAACATTGTTCACTACCTTCCAACCCATTTACTGCATATTTTTCTAACCAATGTAGAAGATAACAAATGTTAAGAGCATGGACATCACTGGTGTACACTGATTTCAATCAACTTATCACCGTTTACATCAGCTGAAGGTCTGTTCCACAGGATCATCGCATGCACACTTAGATCAGTCACAGGTAAAACACCATTGACAGGGATTTCTGGCAGTAGCATTTCAAGTTTTTTCGTTTTTATTTCCTACAGAAGAACTTATGTGTAGGGCTAATAAGCCTCCACACTTTCATATCCTATTTTGGGGGAAAATATCTTCAAGCTACATTCTGACGTTTAAGAATTCTACGATTTAGGAAGATGAAGTCACTGTGTTCACTGGGACCATTCACATTCAAAACGTAGTACATAATTGAGTGCCTTGACAAAGGCAAAACAGAATTAACAGAAGTGCAAAAATTAATTTTAAGGCACATTTTAACTGCAGTGAGTAAGCTTCCTAACGCAGCTCAGCATTCCTACCCTTTAGCCATGTTGACACGCCTGAAATGATCCTGTGACGCACCAGGAAAGTAGCAGCGTAAAACAAATGCCAGGAAATCCCTACTAATTTGTTTTAATAAACAATTGTGCTTTCACTCTCCTACTCCTAAAAGCTGAATTTACACTTCTAATACTGTACGGAAGACGATGCTTATTTCCAAATGAGGGCATCTATTAAATCCTGTCTGACATAACAGTAAATAGAAATGAAAGATTCTGGTTGTTTAGATGCCACTTTTGTAATCTTCAGTCATACTCCACATAACATCAGAATTGCTAATTCACCGAAACCCTACAACATCATGTGGATCTGACAAAGAAACTGTCCTAAGTAACCCTGAAGCCAGAGTGAGCACAGCCAGTCATTTCAGAGTTGCAGAGTAACTCTTACAGCATGTCACATGAGAGAATTTTCTGCTTGCATTTTCATTCAAATGATTAAGCACAGAAAATCACATTTCAACAATATGTTGTAATGGTTTGGCTATAATACAAACTGTTGTCAAATACAAGGCCAAATTGTGCTGTACTTTGAATTTCAATTCAACAACAGAAATGTTAGATTTTCTGTATTATATATCTTGAGTTAAAATTTTGGAGTTTTTTAATAACATATAAAGTTTCACAAGATTATACTGACAGTGACCGGTCACACTACTCTGCAAAGGCATTAACATTTGTTACACAAGTGTTTGTGACAGGTGCTATGTTAACTGTTACTGCAACTCAAATCTTCAGTATAACAGAGCAAAACAAGCTTATTTGTACTGTCCTCCCTTATATATCTGAAATCTGACTACAGCCCATGCTGCAAAGACACCTCAAGCTATGCTGTGTTCGTGCCTGGCCTTTCTGTTTACTGACAACAAAGGGACAACTTACAACAGTGATAATTAACGACATCAAAACCCCATCAAAACCAAACTCTTCAAAACTATCAGCTTTGTTTTTATATAGACTAATCAACATCTAATAGCTTGATGTCTAACTTCAGAACAAAGATAGGAAATAGATATGCCACATAATTTGTGGAAAGAAAAGAACCCAGATGAAGGCACTCCTAAAGAACTATTTAAGCCTTTCCATTTGACTACCGTTTCACATTGCCTCCAGTTTAGCTCAGGGAGGGCAAATGGATCAAAAGCTACTTGAAAGTGTATGAAAGAAGAAATACAAATTCATGTTCCATGTTTTTGTTTCTGCGGGTGTGAGCCCTATGAATATAGTCCTAATACTCTGGAAGCTACTATGGAGTTTCTTACACGGAGATTCTCTGGATTTTTCTCGTTGTTATCTTCATCTGAAGATTCATTCTTCATCAACTGAACCCTGCAACGAGCTGCCCAGACTATAATTTCAGTACCCTGGGGGACCTCAGTGCTGGCTCCCATTAACCACGGTATTACTCATCTTTTTTCCAAACCCATGCAAGAAAAAGAACATTCGCCATTCCAACGTGCTTTCAGTGACACTGCTCGTCTTAGAATCATAGAATCAGTCAGGTTGGAAAAGACCTTTGAGACCATCAAGTCCAACCATCGACCCTGCTCTACCAAGCACACCCCTAAACCATATCTCCAAGCACCACATCTAAACGGCCTTTAAACACATTAAGGGATGGTGAATCAACCACCTCCCTGGGCAGCCTATTCCAATGTCTGACAAGACTTTCAGTAAAAAAAGTTTTTCCTAATGTCAAGCCTAAACCTACCCTGGGGCAGCTTGAGTCTTGTTCTGTCACTAATTACCTGTGAGAAGAGACCAGCACCTGCCCCTTGACAATGCCCTCTCAGGTAGCTGTAGGGAGCAGTAAGGTCTCCCCTCAGCCTCCTTTTCTTAAGACTAAACAGCCCCAGTGCCCTCAGCTGCTCTTCATGAGACTTATTCTCTGGCCTTTCACCTGCTTTGTTGCCCTTCTCTGTGCTCTCTCCAGCACCTCAATGACCTTCTTGTATTGAGGTGCCCAGAACTGGACACAGCGCTCGAGGTGTGGCCTCACCAGTGCCTAGTAGACAGGGACAATCACCTCCCTCCTCCTGCTGGCCACACTATTCCTAATACAAGCCAGGATGCCGTTGGCTTTTTTGGCCACCTGGGCACACTGCTGACTCATTTTCAGCTGCCTGTGATTCAGTATCAACATTCAGTACAGCTTTATTCCCCTGGCACCCTCTGAGCTTCGTGGTGTTGAGGAAGCAGCCTAAGCTAACTGAGAATCAACAGCTCTGAGACTGAAATAAGAATTGGAGGCTGCTGAGTTGGTTTTGATTTACTAATGTGAGCTCCTGTGTAAAGAAGGGCTTGTTCTTGTATATGTA